GGGCGCAGGGTCTGGGGGCTGCCCGGCAAACCGTGAAGCCGGTAGCGCTGGGGCAGCCCTTTCCCCGTGGCTGGGAGTGGGAGGGAGGAGGGGGCGGAGTTAGGGCAGGGAAGGGGGAAGGGGCGGAGTTGGGGCGGGGCTAGCGGGTAGGGGAAATGGGCGGGGCCAGGGCCCGTGGAGGGTCCTCTTTTTTTATTTATTAGATATGGTAACCCTATGGTAGGGGGCTGTTTAACTGTGTAGATCTGAACAAGTCAGTAAATTGGGGGGGGGTGCAAATATCTAGGGGACCAAAACTGTAACTGCAAGAATGGAAGTGAGTGTTTTGAGAATCTGGCCTGGGAGGTAGTTTTCTTTCTCTGTTTGGAAACCAGTCGGTATTAAGGTTTGTGAAGAAGTGTTTTGGGATCCCACTGGCGGTAAGGTGCCTTGCATATTAGTACATGAGCATTGTCATTTTCTCTCAGATTGCTCCCTACTCCCCCACAACATAGATTCCAAGGCCAGAAGAGACCATTGTGATCAATGCAACTATGTGCAGTTGCAAAATCCTGTAGCTGGTGGAATAGTTCTGTGCCGCCTTTCCTGCTATTTAAATGGGGTTATGCAGCCCCTGAAGCAAAGCCTGTAGGGAATACGCTTTCACAGACAGCATCTGGCTGCTTGGCCCAGCTCTTTGAGCATTAGGCAGCTTTTAATCAACTCAGCGCCACTCACTTGTTTAGCGCACTGGAGTTAATGATTCTAAACTTGCAATCAAGCCTATTAATCTCTTTTCCTATTACAGCTAATAACTTTTCTCTGTCTTTACAGAGAACCCTAAATACATTTTTTAAGATGCCTGTAGATAATGGAGATGGTTTGGTTTTTTTATAGTAAAACGGTTGTTTACCAGCAACAATGCCCAAATATCAATTATCTGCCTAAATCATTGCATTGACCTTCAGGTCATCCATTTTTCTAAAATTCATCAGAAAATTCACGGTTGTGCACAAAGTATTTTATCTAATTAAATTTGCTTTGTCACAAAGGGTACTGACATCAACTATTGATATATGCTTAAATAAAATGATGGCTGACAGTCACATTTAAAGAAGAAAGTTACATAGACAAAAATGAGACACATTATTTTCTTTTGGAAATTTCCTAACGGATCATCCTGGAGTTTTGCTGGATCAAGAATTGGCTTTATTTGGTGTGTTCTGATTATTAGAAATTGAAGGCTGCAATGGATGCAGATGCTAACTCTCACTTTGCAACATCCAAATGTGAACACCTTAGTAGGATATCTAAATCCCACCCGTGGGTGCTCAGACTGGAATTTTTCCCATTTAATGTACCTAAGCACCAATATTAGCATCCACGTGTACACAAAGTGTATATGCCCTGTGGAAATCTGTGTAGTTACCCTGCCCCCCGCCCCCATCATTCACCATGTGAAGAAGGAAGAGGAAATGGCAAGATTCCCCATGTAATTCACTGCCCCATACTGGGAGATGACCCTTATCAGAACACTAGATCTAAACCCCTTGAATGTTGGGGAAGTTCCAATTGAGTTGTAGGTCTGAATTCATGATCTAGGAATCGCTTTATCATAGATTGAACCAGAACTTCTAAACACCTCTGAATTTGGAAGAAGTTCAGATTTGGCTCCTATCCTGGATCCACATTTTGTGATTCAGGTTCCTCGTTAATGCTATATCCTGATAAGCAGCAAGAGCAGGGATTTCAACATCCTGAATGTTTTGAAGTATATCCTGCTTAAGCACAGCGTGCATGTATTCAGTGATAAGTCAGTTTTCTTTAACAAAAATGTATCTAGCTTTTTAAAGTCCTTTTTGAGTTCTAAAGGCTTTTAAGTGATCAGTTGGAGAGGAAGTCACTGGCTGCTTTCTGAATTCAAGATAAAAAACAATTTTTAGAAGTGTTATATGCTCGTGCATCTGAGAGAAGGGCATGGGCCCTCAGAGAGAGACATGAATACAGAGTATGCAGGAGAAGAATGGAAGGAAAATACCATGGAGCCAGTAGGAGGATCATGGGAATTGAGTGAAACCAAAGACATGAAGACTGGGAAGAAGGAAGTTGGGACTAGTGCAATTTAACTGGCAGGGAGTTGTGGTTTTGCTAGAAGTTGGAAAGAAGTAGGATGGGAATAATATCCTAATCTTAACCAGTAGAAGTTTTAAAAAAGTTTCTGGACAAAGTACTTGCTCAGGAGTTCATTCAAGCTTATTCTTTATTGCTACTGAACTGGTTCATCATTTCTGTGTGTATTATAGATGCGTTCACCGTGGGTGGAATTCAAAACCTTGTACACCTAAATTTCAGCATTTTCATGATCCAGCACAAGGATTTACTTCCATGAGGCATATTCAAACAGTGCGGAAATCTGAGCTGCTGCACATATGAGCTGAGTTTTGCAACTACAGAAATGTGGAGAATAGAAGAAGCTATGAATTTGGATGTGTAAATTAATATTCCTAGCAAGAGTATGCATAACAACTCTTCTGATGATAAAATTCTAGCTAGAACCCATTGCAATACCCAGTGTACTAGGACATTGCATAAAAACTTAAGAGTTATGTTGTCATGGCATGGTGACATGCTGATATTTCATAGTGATTTGAGGATTTATAGAATTGGAACAATCTTAGACAGACGGGTAACCCCGTTGCAAGATCTCCAAGGTTCAGTTCTTTTGGAAATGCAGTTGCCAGTTCTTTTTGGACAGGTTCAGACAGAGAATCACACAATGACCATTCTGGAGCTCAGAATATAGTTTGAAAGGGGTGAATCACAAATAGGAGCTATACATTATCTGAACAAGAAAACAAAGTCACATCACAAGTTTTTAGTCACACGGCTTATTGAATAAAGGAACTTAGCAATGTTATTTCAGTTGAGAGAGGATAGCTTGAAAGATTGCTTCATGCTATATGTTGGACATTAAATTATAATAATGAATAGGACTGGTTGATTTTTATTTATAGACATTTCTGTGGTAATCACAAATGTACTGGAGCACTTAATTTGTTAATAAATCATACCTTTCAACACCATTTAATTTCCATTTATGTTTTCTAGACATCAGCAGCCCTCCACCCCATGCTGCCTGAAAGACAAGATACATAATCTTACAAAACAGATAGTTTTGTATTTTTCTGGTGTTTGCATCCATGTGTTCAAGAAATTTTATGTCTGATCCTTTGCTTGCTGAACCCATATATCTCTAACCACCTCAGATGGAGCTACAGTTTAGGGCCTGCATAATAAACTGTACTAATGGTTTTCATCTCTCTCTCCTGTGGTTTCTTTCAGGAGGCTGTGACTGGAGTTGTGTAGGCCAGGGCCTATGTGTCAACCTGCATCACTGTCCAGCCCACCTAATTCCTCCTTCACCATGGCCATATACGACAGCAGTATGCTAGGCCAACCCCAATCTGTGTTGGGGAGACAATAGGTGACTAGAGAGACACAGAAGGATAAGTTGGCCTTTTCCCTTTTTGTGACAGTGGTGTTGATAGAGTGGGATGGCAGCCAAGCTAGAGAGATGGGTTTTGCATCTGAGTTCAAACCACTAATGTTTCCTCAAACTTCCTCCTCACCCTCTTTTTTCCTGCAGAGCTCTGGGATTGGAGCGATCATCTTCCAGCTTGTGCAGAAGAATGAGGTGCAGTGAGGACCTCAATAAAGTAAGCTAATGTTAGCAAATCAGTTTGGCAAGATAGTCTAGCACAGGGATGTGCAAACTATGGCCCCTGGGCCGGATCCCTCAGGGATTTGGAGCCAGCCCGCAGGATTGCCATGACCCGTGGTGCTGCGGGCCCCGCACTGCTCCTGGAAGCGGCTGGCACCACATCCCTGCAGGCACCACCCCCCACAGCTCCTATTGGCCTGGAACAGGGAACTGCGGCCAATGGGAGCTTTGGGGGAGGTACCCACACACGAGAGCAGCACGCAGAGCCCTCTGCCCCTCTTCCCCCAGGGGCCGCAGGGACGTGATGCTGGCCAGTTCTGGGAGCGGAGTGGTGCGGGGTCAGGGCAGGCAGGGAACCTGTCTTAGCTCCGCTGCACGCCGCTGCCACCCCGGAGCCGCTCAAGGTAAGTGGCGCCGGGCTGGAACCCGCACCCTGAACTCTTTCTGCACCCCACACCCCAACTCCCTGCCTTGAGCCCCCTGCTGCACCCCTCCTGCACCCCAACCCTCTGCCCTAAGCCCCCTGCCACAGCCCTCCTGCACCCCAACCCCCTGTCCTGAGCCCCCGCCACACTCCTGCCTGCACCCCTGCCCTGAGCCCCCTCCCGCACTCTGCACCCGCTTCCTGCACCCAACCCCCTTCCCTGAGCCCTCTCGTACACCCTGCACCCCTCCTCTGCCCCAACCCCTTGCCCTGAGCCCCTTCCTGCACACTGCACCCCCTCCCACACACCACACTACCTCTCGCACCCCAATCCCCTGCTCCAGCCCTACATTCATGGTCCTGCATGCAATTTCCCCACCCAGATGTGGCCCTCTGGCCAAAAAGTTTGCCTACTCCTGGTCTAGCAGATGCCTTAGGGACCTCAGAGTTTTAGTAATCTGGGGGAGTTACAGCATTAACTGACTGCAAGTTTAGAAACAACTAACAGCCTTTTTCTCACTTGTTTATTTTTAGGGCTGGCTGGAAAACAACAATTCTGTTTCATGAAAAATGTCAAGATTTTTATTCATTCCAAAGCAAAACAAAAATCAGATCTTTAGACATTTTTTGCAAAGAACCCGCAGGAGGCTCCCTACCCCAGAATAGCTGAAATAAATGGAGTAGGGACTTGGAGCCACGTCTCTCCCATCCTGGGTGAGTACACTAACCAGCGGGCTATCCTGGGGGGAGGTTTCTCAGTCTCTTTCCATACCCCTCCCCAAATTCTGGATTTGAGAAACCCTCCAGACAATATTTTCATTGAAATCAGTACATTTCTGTGAAACATTTCAGCTACAACCCTATGAAATTTTTGGACAGAAGAAAAATGTCAAAGATTTTTCAACCAGCTTGATCTATTTTACATCTGACACAGAAGATGGGTCTATACGGGGTATGTTATTTTCTCACAATGATGATGTCTAGAGATACAGAGGCTGAGGCCAAGATTTTCAAACTAGGATTCCTAAAGTGAGTCATTAAAATGCATGTTTAGACAGCTAAAAGTGGCCTGATTTCCAAAGGTGCAGAGCACCAACAGCTCTCAGCGACCTCACCAGGAGTTCCAGGTGCCCAGCCTTTTTTTCAGATCAAAGGAGGGGAGAATTAGGCCCTAGCTCATTAGCTTTCATTAGAGGACCTAATAAGTTATCATCTGTGGAAAATGACACTGTACACGGATGGATGAATTCATGTTGGCACACTTTATAATCCAGTCGCTAGAGCAATACAGTACTTACATCCACATGCATCCAGATTTTGTATTTCTTGCAGATGTCCGCAATAGCTAGGAGTGGATCAAACGCACCATACACTGTAGTTCCTGCAGTGGCACTAACTAGGAAAGGAACAAATCCCTACACAAAGAAGAGAAATATTCCTCAGTGAGAGAATATTATTAGTCAAACAGAGAACCCACCTGAATCTGCAGTAGCTCTATTTTCTTCCAGATAGTCAGGCCATAGTGTAAGTAAAACTTTAATTGCAATAGCCACTGTGCTAATCCTGAATGAATACACAAGTGTCTCCAGGTGACAAACCTGCTTTATGTTGCCAGGCAAAAGAAACTGCCATTTGGAAATCAAGAGCTTTGCTACTTTCCTTTTCTTTTCTTTTTTTTTTTTTCTTTTCTCATTTTAGATCTTCATAATATTACAGTTTCCCCCTTTAGGTGGCAGCAAACTTCCAAGGCCAACACTGTGCCATTTATGTAAATAAAGATACATTAGATGTAAAAGCTTCAGAATGAACATTTCCACACTTATCTGTCTGTTTGAAGTAAAACATGGATACTTTGTTATGACATGTAGGACAAACCAAACTATCTTTATGCATCATTGAACAATACATCTTTTTGGCAAATTTGAAGTAGCCTGTATTATGCTTTATATTAATATTGCATTCAGCGCATGCTAGATTCTGTGCATCATATAGGAAGGCACATTCCCTACCCCAAGAGTCTATGTTGTAAGGTCCTGATCCTGCAAAGGTTTATGCTTACTCTCCACTTGTAGCACATGAGCAGTTTTCCTGAAACCATTGGAACTACTCAAAATGTGTAAAGTTAAGCAAGTGCCTAAGACTTTGCAAGATTGGGGTCTAAAATATGTATATGAAAATTATATAAAAAATAGAGGTTTTTTCATATGTAATGAGCAACTGATATTTCTTAAAAGGCCTGAACTCCCCCCCTCCCCTCCCGCAAAATAGGATATATGCTTAGTAGGTTTTTGGTTGAATGTTTTGTTTTTTGGTTTAGTTTCCCCTACCCCATGGTTTATCTTAGGCAAAGCAAGTTTTTACAAAGACCAGTTTTTCTTGTGAAGTATGAACTCTGTGTTTTTAAATTATTATTGTACAGCAACTGTTGCCATAGCCACCATATTAAAATAAGATATATATTATAATATCATATTTAAGCTTTAAAAAGGGGCTTTTAAAAGGGCACACAAATAAACTGTACCTTGGAGAATATATTTAGTTCTTTGAATTAACTCTTCTTGCTTTTGTGACTTTGATAAGATTATTTTCAGTTTATTAAAAAAAACTTCAATCCCAAAAGTCTTTTCATTTAGAGTTAACATTCAGCTAGTGATTGTATCACAGACTGAGGAGGTCTAAATCAGGAGAAGATTATACTATATAGCATAGAAGGAAGACAAATGCCTTGGGAAGGCCATGAAACATCTTTAAACACATCTTTTATTCAGCACTTCTAACCTTCCTCATTATATTGATGTGTTTCAGATAAGTAAATCATGGTATAATTCCATGTTGTCCTGCAAGGGAACATAACACAGAATAGCTCAAATCTCCTCTTAAAAAACACCAATCAAATTGACCAAAATGCCACTTGTTTCCTATGCGTGGAAGTGGAAAACGCTGCACCATTTCTGAAGGCACCCGGTAATAGACTTACTTTTTGTTTGGCTTCAATAATTCTTCTTTCAAGGTCTGATGGGATAATTTTCCCTCTGCAGAAAGGATAATGTCATATTAAGGTTCCAGTTTTGAAAACAGCCCCTTTCTATCACTTTTCCACTTAAATAATCTCAGATAGGGATGAAATTGACCCCTCTGCACCATTTAAGTTCTCAAAGTAGGCCCTTAAATGGTGCCTAGTCCTTGACCTGGCCTTCAGCACAATGCTGAATTTCACTGTTAGCTAGTCAGCTGGCACCAGTGTGGTGGTAATAGTGGGGAAAAGTCACCTCCATTCAGGTGGTGGTTCAGGACCATGCTGAAGCCCCACTTAGTGCTATATTAAAAGGCAAATCCTGTCCCATAGCGCTTCAGGTTCCAGTGTGCCTCTGTAGCCCCACTGAGAAGTTCCTGGATGTCCTGCAGGGGATTCCCAACTCTGTGGCTGCTATTGGTTGCTGTGTGGCAACCCAACCAGGCCCCCTGCTCAAGCGATGAAGGCTATGACTCCATCTCCTAAGGGCTTTGAGGATCATGTCCAGGGGGCTCTGCACTTGCACAGAGAATCCTCGAATCAATTGCATGGCCCCAAACCATGAGATCAGCTGACTGCTCTAAAATTAAACTGTTGGGGAGGGAGAAGGAAGTCTTCTGCCTGCTAAGAGCAGCTGGGTCCCTTCCCATTACTTCTCCATACCCACAGGAGAACGTGGACTTTTATTTGCAATGCAGAACAAAACAAAGCAGGCCAAATTAATCCTCAGTGTAACTCTAGTGGAGTGACACTACAGATGAATTTGCCTCAGAGTGACTGCTCCATAGCTTGATCTGGTTATCTTCCTACTAGCTTTGAGAGGGGCATGAAAAGAAGCAGCTGGTCTGGGCTAAAAGAAAATACATCTTCAAATCCTTCAAATTTAGTGTACATGGTATTTGCAGTAGATTTATTATGAGCCATTCACCTGAGATTCAGGCTCAGTGGCATAAGCCCCTCAAGCCAATCTGGAAAGTCTTGTAAATTCATTAGGCGCATGATGAAAACACTATTCATGTTTACATATTAAGATCTGGGGGTTTGGTTGTTTTAGCTAAGGGTACGTCTATACTACCCACCGGATCGGCGGGTAGCGATCGATCTATCGGGGATCGATTTATCGCGTGTAGTGTAGACGCGATAAATCGATCCCTGATCGCTCTCCCGTCGACTGCTGAACTCCATCTCGGCGAGAGGCAGAAGCAAAGTCGACGGGGGAGCTGCGGCCGTCGATCCTGCGCCGCGAGGACGCGAAGTAAGTAATTCTAAGTCGATCTAAGATACGTCGACTTCAGCTATGCTATTCGTGTAGCTGAAGTTGCATATCTTAGATTGATCTCCCCCCCCCCCCCCAGTGTAGACCAGGCCTGAGAGTCAGACTATCCATGGAGAGAAAGAATCCATAAAATCATCAGCATTATGCTAGTCGTTTTTAAAATTTTGGTAAGTTCTTCATTAACTTTGATTAATCACTGGGCACTTACAAAAACAGGCCCACTTCAAGAACCTTTTCAGTCTTTAACAGAGGTGGTAAAAAAATTTCATTGAAAGAAATGGATTTGTCAAAAATAAATATTTTCATGGAAAAATGTAATGAAATGGTTCTATTTTTTTGTCTAAAAATAAAAATTAACTTTTGGTTTCTAACCAAAAACCAGAATGTTTTACCAAAAATAATTTTAGAAAACCAAAAATTTGCTGGGGGTTGGTTTCATTTACACCAGAAAAATTCAGGGGAATAAAAAAATGAAAATGTCTTCATTTTCAGCAAAAAAGTTTGGTATTTTTTGATCACTTCTAGTGCTTAATTATGCAGAACAACCAACAAAGTCAAGAGTTTGACCCAGAAAGAGGCTTTTGGTAAAGATGGGCTTTGCTTTGGCAAAAGATCATGATATTTTGCTTTGCAAATGAAAAAAGCTGAGCTCAACCCTGGTTTTGTTTTGTGATACCAGGCCAGTACAGAATATTCTACCCCAGGGGTTCTCAAACTTCATTGCACCACAACCCCCCTTCTGACAACAAAAATTATGACATGACCCCAGGAGGCGGGACCAAAGCCTAAGCCTGCCTGATCCCTGCCACTCCTGGGGGGGAGGGGGTGCAAAGCAAAAGCCCCACTGCCTCAGGGGAAGAGGGCAAAGCTGAATCCTGTAATCTCAGCCTCACTGCCCAGGGATGAAGCCCTTGGGCTTTGGCTTCGGCGCCTGGCCCCAGCAAGTCTAAGCCATCCCTGGCGACCTCATTAAAATGGGGTCGTGACCCACTTTGGGGTCCTGACCCACAGCTTGAGAACCGCTGTTCTACCCATGCCAAAATTCCCCTGCTAATTTGTTATGGTGTCAGACAAAAATAATATTTTCTTCTTCCTCTTAAAACTGCTATTAGGACTATAAGGGGAATAAAATAAAAAGAAACTAAAACCCAGACTTGGAATTCCTGCTCTAAATACAGTATAATAGCATGCTGTTTACCAGCCTTCAGCATTGCCAAAATACACGTTGAGGTGCACAGTTAAGGAGACCTCAGTACTGTCAAAATTTATATAAGCTAGTGATTAGCTAGCCCCCAGGAGAACCAAACACACACAGGACTGTACAATAAAATCATCTGCAAGCATTGTCAAAATCCACATAGGGACAGGCAGTAAATCAGCCCCCAATATAGCCAAAATATAGGGGGGAGCATGCAAAAAAGTCCCCAGCAGAGGCAAAATACAGCAGGCGCCCAGCAAGACAACTGATAGCATTGCCAGCCTACATATAAGAGCATGGAGTAAACCAGATGCTACCATTACCAATCCACATAAATGGGCAATAGGAGCATGTGGAAGACCATCGCCCAGCATTAGCAAAAATGCATTTTTTGCTTTGTTTGGGTGGGCTGATTGCCTGCATGATCTTATAGATTACAAAACAGTGTAAACCAGCTCCAGTACAACAAGAATACAGGCAAATTCTACTGGGTGTTGCTCAGGATGGGGTCTGGTGGGCTCAGGCTAGATAAGCATCCAAAAGCTCAGATGGACCCACAGCCCATACAATCCAAACCCTTCCTTCATAAGAGCCATAGGATCATCCCATAATTCCTGCCTAGTGTGTTTTGGGAGAAGGCTTGGTGGACCTGCTATGTTCCTTTGGCATCTTCCGGGAATGGATGAGAAACATGCAGTAACTCTGCCGTTTTCTTTAGGAAGGACAGTTTAAAGCATTGTTCTCACTAAAGAAAAATAAATAATTACATTGAATCTGCACAGAATTCATACAAGAAGGGTCAGATTCTGAACCCAGTTACATGAATCTGGTCTTTAGTGTCTAGAAAAAGCAAAGGTGTCATTATGAAGTGCTGGGGCATCAGGTGTTTTTTGCTCATTGTTCACACAGTCTTTAATTCTTCTGCAAAGAGTTCTCAACTTTGAGACTAGGGAGATGAGGTTATGAATCAATAGCCTGTGATTACTATTCTAAATTGCTTAAATGGTTTTCTTTTGATGAGAGGATCAGAACATTTTGATTTAGTCAGGCCTTCCATTTAATCTGGAGCCGTAAAACATTCAGTAGATTATAACAATGATATCCACTGGCTCCTAATGAAAGGCAATTTTTATTGAAGAACTCTCTGTAGAACTAGTGAGAAATTTTCCATTGAAGTTTTTTCTTTCCAACTAGAAAATGCAAGTTCCACAAGAACAGAAATTTCCATGATAAAATTTTGATTTTTGTCAGAATTTCAGTTGTCTGTCAGGAAATTTGGTTTGTTGAACTGAATCAAAATGTTGTGTTTGGGCACATTTGATATTAATCTGTGTCCACCTGAGGTGGTGTATTGTCTCATAGGAGCTGCAGTTTGAGAGCCTCATGTCCTCATTCTCCTCCTTGGGCTGGGTACCCTTGCAGGACTACATTATATTCCCATTATACCCCACAGTTGTGTCCTATGGCTTTTCTGCCATGGTGCTTTATGCGAAATGTGGTCCAGCCAGGGAACCTACCTCATAAATGAAAATGGGGGCATGAGAATCACCGAATTACAACTCCTATGAGTTACTGATGGATATAGTTCCATGTTGAACTGAGTTGAAATAAGACATTTCAGCTCAGTTGGACAAACCAAAATGAAATATTTCTATTTGAGGATATAGAAATATTTAATTTTAAGCAAACCAAGGTATTTCACTATTTCTGAATCAGAATTTTAAGGGACTTTCCAGTCCATGAAAAACAAATGTTAAAATATTTCCCATGGAATGAAAACTCTAGTTTTCAACCAGCTCTAGCTATCAGTTGTTGTAGAAGCTGTGATCAAAAGGCCAGAAGAAGTATAAGGGGCCTACCATAATAAAACATTGGCCCCCTGACCTGCCAGGCACTGCCCACTTGTCACCCCAAGACCCACCCCCCTGGGGTATTACTTCCAAGAGCAAGACGGACACATGACCGGCTCCAGTCATGATTGATGATTGATTTGATTGATAGTAGGCCCCTTATACTACTGCCAGTTCCTCAGTTGGTATAAATTGGTTTAAATCTACTGAAATTAGAGCTATGCTGATTTACACCAGCTGATGATCTGGCCCTACATGCTTTCTCTGTGTTCAGCCATTGCTTGTCCCCTCTCTTAGGGTGGCATTGTAAGGAGGTGTATATGGAATCTGTACTTACCTTTCGTCACATCTAATCAGAATCACACTATCTGTGCCAATCCCCAAGGCTGCAGCTCCCTTCTTCACAGAAAAGTGACTCTGAAAAAGCATATTTTTTGTTTTGTATTATTTCTAATTTTTTTATCCAATTTAAAGCAAAAAAACCCTGCACTCTTGGAGTGTCCTTGAAAAACTAACCCCATAGGAGCAATCATTTTATTCACGTATTTTTTTTAGAAACGCATCTCTGTAACTTGAAATTTCACATCAGTACTCCCTCACTATTTGGAGCAAAATTAATAATTCTAAACTGATTTAACTCAAAATATTAAGAACAATATTGTAGCTGATTTCAGAGCCAAATTCTGCTCTCGATGCAAGCGCACAACTTGCACTGAAATCAATGAGAGTTGCCTCTGTGCATTCCTCACTGAATTTGACTTACTGTATGTAGTCCCTTAGCTAAATGGAAGGTCAGTTCATTTAATATGTGACATCCCAAGTAAAGTGCTTCTGTTACGTGACCACTGGCCAGATAATATCATAAGCCCAAAGAAAGACCTATAACTGAGGATAGGCAAAGATATGGGGCCTGATTCTGATTTCATGCCAGTGTAAATTAGTTGTAACTGCACTGGAGTAAATTGAGTTACAATAGTGTAAGATCAAACTCAGGAATGTTATTCTCACTGCATAGGATAAAAGTGGAAGTTATATGTTAGGAAAGTAGTTCAATCTAATTTTCCTCAGGAGTCAGGACTTGAATCCTGAATAAATGTTTGTTTGTAATTTGGGATTACAATTTAAGGAATTCAATCACATTTACTATAATCATAGTGTGATATTATATCAAACTGTACAGCCGAGAAAATGGTTTTGATTAACCTAAAATTGATTAATGACTCTGTCTGAAGTCTTACAGTTTTAACTACAGATCACTAAACTTTTCAAAAAGGAGTAAATACAACTTTCCTAGTGGAAATCCTCCATTGAATTCATGATTAGAAGAATTAGTTACGAATCTGTTTGCCATTTGGTGTACATTAATACTTGAATATTGATGGAAGTTATGTGCATACATAACATCATGTACTCATAAGTCGCTAACACTGACTAATCAAGCAGAGGGAACATATTTGTATAGTATACACCAGCATTAGTGTAGGGCAAAGCATAGAAACAAGGTAAAGAAGATACACTAGACTTTATCATGAAGTCATAGATGTTAGAGAAGGAAAAGACACTAGGGCCATTCCCCCTGCTCTCACAGGATTGCGTGAGTCCAGGGACAGACTACAGAAGAGAATTAATCACTAGCACTGCACAAAGCAATTGTTTGACCGCAGTTGTACTGCATACAGCAGAGTGCCATACAGAAGGATTTGAATACATTGGGAAAACAGGGAGGTGATGAGAAAATTGTTTACTATGATGCCCCATTCAAAGCACTTAAGCACACATACATGCTTAAGTGTTTTGACAAACTGAGCTCTAAATTGACTTAATTTAGAGGAAACAGAGGCAGAAAGGGACCCAGAAGTAATAGTGAGCAATGCCATGAAAGTAGGACTGCAGTGCCTGGCTGCAGCAAGAAGTGGGGTGATAGAATATAAGTGAGGGGAGAAATAACTCTGCCACTATGTAAAATAATGTCATTTCTCTAATTACAGCAGGAGCAGAAGTGATTATATGTAAGGTTGCACAATGGTTTCCATTTCAAAGTCTTGTTTTTCAGTCACTTGGAACTTTACCATTTCAGCTGAAGTTTTTCGTGCTTAGTTTCTGACCAAAGGTAATTTTTTGTAAAAAAAGATTTTGAGCAACAAGAAGGTTTGAGCATAAGTGTTGTGCCCTTTTTGAGAGTTAAAAAAAAATTCTTGAGACTTTTAACATCTTCAGTAACAAACAGCTGGGGATAGAGACTTGAAATCTGCTCTCATTTAGGAGAAATGCCTTTTCTGGAGAAAAGAAGTTTTGATTTGTCCAAGTTATGAATCTTTGAAGATTACATGTTGGGCATGTGCAATATATGTGGCAGGGCTTTTATCTTGCAAGTTTGAGAGGTGGAAATTGGGGATTCACCCTCTGCATGTATGTGGGACTAACAGGTAAAGAAAAAAATAAAGAAAACGTGTGCTCAGGGCATAAAATTTTCCATTTTGAAAAATAAATGGTTTTCTTAATCTTAGGGCTGACCTGTGCATCCTAAACATTCTCTTAACATAGCTATTTATGGAATAATGTATGTGTATGTTACATTAGGTGATCTAGTAAACTAATGAAAAAGTGCTGATTTTATGAAATAATTGATTTTTTGAAACCCTTAATTTTTTTCTCAAAGTTACATGAATAATTATATCAGTAGTGTCTTATCAGAGTCATACAATTGGCAGGATTACAACATGGATTTTCTCCTATAGGATAATTTGTTTTCCTTCACTTATCAGACTCCTGGAATCAACAGTCTTTTATTAATTAGTTTGTTCTCTCTCCTCCGTCAAATGTAAGAAATTGACTCATTGGATTATACAATTGGGTAGAAAGAGGGCTTGCCTTTTCTGAAGACAATTCTAAGCAGAATAGAAATGTGTTTATTGCAAATATTTGTGAAGGATTTAATGGAAAAGATGCTGATAATACTATGAATTGCACTCAAAATGCAATTCTGCAGACCATCATAGTTAGGCATATCAAAATCACTTTTGAACCAACAAGTACTGAAGTTATAGATGGAGTATGAAAGCAGTTCTCTAGGATGCCTTGTGGCCTGGCGCCTCAACACATCAGCGCCACATTTTGGTCAGACTCAGCATTGCACAGATTCTGCTCAGCTGGGCAGGGCAGTCAGCCTGCCCTTCTTGTCTCAATCTCTATAGTGCTATTCTGGGGGCAGGGATGTTAATTTCTGTCCCACTGGAATGTACAGACTCCCCCTATGTTTGGCAGGGATTAGCTGGTCTTTGTCCTCCAGGAACTTGGCTCTTACATCTCTGTTAAGAGGTAGGTAGGGGAACCCAGGCCCATCCAGTCCACTTGGTTCCAGCTCAGGGCCCTTAACCCAGGCAGGATCAGTTCTCATCAATTCTCCTGCTGTACCCTGAGCTCCTTCCTATCGCCTTCGGTTCTGTAGGCTTCTCAGCCTGTGGCTCAGGTCATCCCTTCCTTGGGTTGTTGTCACTCTGGTGCAGCGTCTCACCAGCTTGCTGACAGAACCTCCTTTCTCTGGACTGCTGGCTCCTCTGGCAGCTGCCCCACTCCTCTGCTTCTCAGCTCTTTTATTCTCCGAGCTGCGGTGAGGCTGCCAAACAGAACTAGCTGGCAGTTCCTGCATTAATTCCTGGGGTGCCAGTCCACCTGGGGTCTATACAGCTCATGGCAGGCCTATATTCCTAATGATGTAATAATATTTCTTGGTTAAACTAATTGATGAAACTTCCCCAGTGGTATGTGACTGCAATATACCAGCACTGCACACTGGTCAGCTATGCCAAAATCATGTATTAAGTTTTCCAGTCCTGTAATCTATGCTCTAGGTCCCCAGTTCAGCAAACCATCCCTATTCAGCAAACCACTTAAGTATGTTCTTAAAGTTAAGCATCTGTATAACTCCTTTTGACTTTAATGGGACTCAAGTACATGCTTGAAGTTTAGCACATGCTTAAGTGGTCTGATGAATAGGGATGGATTTAAGCATGTGCTTACAAGTTTGGCCCAGGAACCAAGCATGTAAATGCTGACTTCAGTGGGAGCTGAAGGTGCTCAGTACCTCCCAAAGGCACTCAGCATCTTCCAGGATCAGGCCTTAAGTGTTCTAAGAATAGATGTTTGCATGTAATGCAACTCTATATACTGCCATGGTCTGACTTGTCAAAACCATAGCTGAACTGAGTTATGCAAGTCATGCATGTTCTTTCCCACTGTTCTGTCGTCTCTTTCGTGAAAGGGTAAATGGTGTTCAATCCAGTAAACATACCACAGTTCTGCTCAGCATTGTACCCCTCTCTGTCACAATTCTGTACTCTTTTTTCATGCAATCCTTAATGTGCATGTTAAGAAACACACCCGAATGTTCTTCGCTAGGTCAGTAAAGGGTGAGCTTTATTCCTGCAGATTCCTGGATCCACTTTTGATTTAGGGCTGGATTGTGGGTGCTTCAGGCACGGCTTCACAAGAGTGGATCAACGAGCTGCTTTCCATCCCTTGTGCAGTTGCACAAGTGCACGCATCGCAGGTTCGCAGCAGCCCCTTGGAAGCAGGGAGGAGGTTGTGCCGTGGCTGACCAGAGAAAGCAGTTTCCTCCTTCTGCCCATGTGGCAGGAGTAGCAGCGGGAAGGGTTGTTTTCACTGAGGCAGTCTCCCCAGCACCTCTCTTGAGGCAATGTGGTCATGCGCACTCCAGCCATAGAGCCCTGTGATAATGCAGCTGGGAATCCACTAAGAGGCTATTGACACAGTGAACCTTAGCACAAAATCCTGAGCACAGGAAGATTCTGTTGATCTTTACACAGATTAGAGGGGAACTGTAAGGGTGTCAAAATACCGGTAGTTCATTAACAGTTCCTAAATCCAGCAATTCCGTTACCAATTTAAGAAAATCATTGATTTCATCGATCCAGTTATATACCTACATATACGTTACATGTGTGTTATGTGAAAAGACACCTATATGTTATATAGTATAATATATTGGTTATATAGGAAAGGGCTAAAGAACTGGAGATGTGGCATTAAATGTAATTCATTGGCTTTAAAGTCAATGGCATTACAGAAAGGATGAATTTGGCTCATTGTTCTACACTGGATAAAATGGAATTGCTCCCGTAACTCTTCTATCTAGTAGAAAATAAAATCTCTCATTATATTAGCATTGAGTTAGAGTGTTGCTGGGTTCTGTGTGGCCATGAAGGGAAGAGGGAGTGAGCCCCACCCCTATCCATGTGGCAATGCGGAAGCTATCCAGATCTTGGGTTCTGTCATGGGCTGGGGAGAGCAGGGGCTGACTGCCTGATATGCCCCTCTGAGAAAATATGGGTTAGGAAGGTGGAAGAGAGATTGGAAGTAGGCACAGCCATGCTTCCACCCTCCTTATACCCCTGGGC